TTTTTGTCTGTCCTTTATGCCCATGAGCTCAATAGGTACCCACACTGGTCCCCACAATCTTGCAGAATGTCTTGTCACACCACAAAGCTTCTGTATGGCTTCTGGTACTCCTTCATGATCTAACACCTTGATACTCACAAGGGTTTGCTGAGATGCAGAATCTATGACAAAGTTGCACCTTTCAAATGTTTACAGTCTAGATAAGTCAGTTTATGATTCTTAGTTTTGAAACTGTTTTTTCATACTCTAACCCATTCACTAATATTGTCAAGGTCTTTTTAAATATGAAAAACAAATCATTCATATCATCATCAAAGTACTGATTAAGAAGTTGTTTTAATTTTAACAATATAAATGAATGACATAGTTTCCAAGATACACTTCTTCTTGTTTTCTACTGTTAAGCAAAATGTTTATCCATTTTCAACATATCTAACTGGGTGGGGGTCAAAATGTGCATGCTGTGACTTTTTATAGAGTGCCATTCAATGTGATATAACATATTTAATGTCAGAGTTATCAACTATTAATTTTTCCTACATTGGTTATTTAGCAACAGCTCATGGTAGAGGAGAGCAAATACTAAATACAGTTTACAAAAATGTAGATATGCATTTTGGAGGTTCTAGAGGTTATACAAAAACAATATGCAAACTGTACAATGGACAAAAGTATCTTGAACATCATCTTGCACTCCAAGTTGTGAGAGTCTGAGTCAGACTACCTGTCAATTCACAGACACATCTTGTGTAAGGATATGTTTGTAATAAATCTAATTGTTTGTGTACAATAGACATACATCTTGCAGAAAGCTTGCCAAATTTCATATAGATACACATAGTAAATTCAGCATTATGGTCAACATTTATTGTATTTTGAATATTATTTTTCTATTATTAAGAAAGCTCTCAAAATAAGAAAAATTGGTTTGATTATATATGATGCTAAGCACTAACATTCTTAAAGGTGTAATACCTTTTCTAGTCCATTTATCAAAGTTGTTATATTAAGTTATGTTTTTATTTTCAACTGATAATCTACAAAACATCAGGCCTAAATATTGTGGATCAATGAAGTGAATTATTCCACAAGATTTGCTGAAATTTTATTTTTTGATTGAATTTGATTTGATAGAACTCCTCTGAAAGAGCGAAGTTGGATGACAAAAGCTATGAACATTATGAAGAAACACCTCTTCATATTGCCATACTGACGTACCTTTGTTATGCAGTTTTGACAATATTTGGCCATTTACGAGACTTCATGCGTAGAAATGGACTTGGAGAAAGTCATTCAGCTGTGGAAAAGAATAGAGATGTATAAAAAACTTATTCTACATATATTATGAAATTTAATTGAATTTAAAACTTGAAACTAACTAACTTCTTTTTGTTTCTTGTTTTATCTCATCTTGCAAAATTTAACTGTGTAGATCATATATATTGTTAGCAATTGAATTTTATATTGCTTATTTGTTGTATCATTTTATTTGTTATGACAAATAAGTTGAGGAGGGAACCATTGGAGATCATTTGTAACTAGATTACGTGTATAAACACAGTTAAAACAAAACCTTATAAAATGTTTCAGACTTTTGAAAAACAAAATTTGTGTTGATGAGAAAAGAAATTACAGTGTTTGAGTATTATAAAATATGGTATTTTATTTTTATTTTAATCTTCCCAATGATAAATTAATGAGCAGGTTTTATCAAAGTATGTATTTATGAAATCCTTGTATTATTACTGTTAATAACTGAGGGAATATTTGACATGAATGGCAGTTATACTGCACAGTTACATAGTTGATGACTCTGAGGATTGTATATGCAATTCTTGTGGCCTGTTATGGTAACACTAGAATCTGTTTCTTAAACTGTGTGTTATGTTTTAGTACACCAGTAGAATCTTTTTATCAGGTCTGTACATGCATGTGATATGTCTCTGACCTGTTGACATCACAGTAAAATATTTGACTTGTATTTCAGGAGGGTATGTTATACCCCTATGACATCAGTAAAATATTTTACTTGTATTTCAGGAGGGTATGTTATACCCCTATGACATCAGTAAAATATTTTACTTGTATTTCAGGAGGGTATGTTATACCCCTATGACATCAGTAGAATATTTTACTTGTATTTCAGGAGGGTATGACATCAGTAGAATATTTTACTTGTATTTCAGGAGGGTATGTTATACCCCTATGGCATCAGTAGAATATTTTTCTTTGGGCTGTGCATGATAACTCTGTAACATCTAACACTATTAGATTTTTCAAAATCAAGTTTTTATAACATTCATGTGACCTGTTGGAACTTACTTTTTTTGTGACTCTGCAGTACCAAAAAATTAGATATATCCTATGACTGTTACTTTTCTGTAGATACAATATATAAAAGTCTATAAACAACTGTTTATACTCTGCTATGTCAGTATTTATATATCCTCAAAAACTTGTAACTTCTTTAAACAGTTTGAGAATTAGTTTTAGTTTAAGAGATCACTAATTACATGTGAACATTTTTGTAGAATATACTTCACTTTTTTTGTTGCTATTTTTGTTCATGCCCTTCCTATCATTATCAGTGTTCTTTACCTGCAATGAGCTCGTACCACCTAGTAGCTTTTAGTAGTTTCTATCAAAGTAAAGTTTTTCTTCAGGTTAAAAACTGTTTTGTTCACTGGACTGGGTAACTCAATGTTAAAGATATAACTGAAAAAATATTCCTGCTATAGTGCAGAGTTTTAGTGTCCACATTCTTAAAGTGTGTACTGATTTCCTTGTTCAAGAAGTTCTTAAAATGTCCAGGCCAGTGGCATTTCTAAGATTTCTTTGTTTGGGAGAGGGCAGAAAAAATTAACACTTTCATGCCAGTGGGAGTCATAATGTAGAGAATTTAAAAAATTTAAAAGACTATTTCAGCTGGGGGCTGCTGGAAGCAGAGCACTACAATGAGAGTAGGCCACTCCTGGTGGACATGATTCTTGTCCAGCCTCTTAATAGTATTACATCCAATGAGCTCCTTTAACTTAAGTGAACAAATGTATATCAGATTTCAAAATTTAAGTGTAGTAATAATTCTAACTCTAAATTTATTTCTTAAAAATATTACTCGGCTCAAAAATATTTTGTCATTTTGTAACATTTACTAAGTGGAATTTGCAAAGACAAATTAAAAAAAATGTTCCAACTTTAATTTCTGTGTAGCTACAAGTTGTCTCATTTGCAAACAATGCAATTATTAATTTTGTATAATTTTTCTGCCCATACAGTATAGGTTTATATTTTCTAAAAAAACAAACTATCATCCCTTGAAAATATAGTAATTTGTGTCCTGTATCTGTCATGATTTTTCTCTTCTCTCTTGGTGGGTTTATTACTACATCCCTTTTATGATTTCACAGTATGAAATTTGAACAGTTACTAATGAAGTTCACATTTGAAAATAGTTATAGATAACATTTAAATACAGTGGATAAAGTAGATTTTTAAATTGTTTATATCAATGTAGAATAATAAAGTGGTTTGAGCAGTAATTGATACTTTCTTAAAATACTGACTACCCAGAGTTCCTTTAGAGAAAAACAGAGGAATCTAATGGAAAGTTTAACAGATCTTTGTTAGCTTTTTCTGTGTATTTTATAATTTATAGCTGGAAGTGGTGGTTACTGCAGTTGTCAAAATAAACTATCAAAGCAAATGTCTTAATGAAAATCAATAAAGTTCAAAGTAACGGAAGATATTAAATGGAAAATCCTGATCAGCAATAAAAATTGAAATTTCAAATTAGGTAGGCATACATCTGAAATACTGAAAGCCTTTCCTTAGTGAGTTTCTCTTCTGTTAACAACCATATGACTCAAAGATCTGAACGTTTTGGATGCAGTGCAGAACATTCATCAACTTACCTAGAATTCTTCACTCTCCCACCTTCCACGAGACTTGTTGCACGTACATCAAGAGAACATACATAAGCTCTACTTTTTTGTCATGATTCATATTTTCTTGTTGACAGTTATGCTGTTTTTTCATTCACTATGAATTTTGATGTCCAGATTAACTACTGCTGCAAATGTTTCTACTAATATCAGAAATTATATAACTTCTCTGAAGTCTTACTCATGTTGTCATGTTAGCATGCAAGAAGTTCATGGGGTAGCATTGTTGGTCCTTATTGATTAATGTATTCATGCTGTTAATTCTGATTGTGTGCTGATGCATTTGATAGGTTTCAAGCTCATATGGATGCTCATTTGTGGAATACCTGCCCTTCTCTCATGATGATTAAACGAAGAAACATTTTGCTTAGGCCTGTTCACTTTCCTTGTCTGCAGTACAGGATTTGTCAGCTAGTCTTAACTTTGAAAAGATTTTTGCTGATCTAATTTTTCTTTTTTCTTAGGTATATTTTAGATATTTACCGTATTTTTCAGTGTATAAGATGCACTTTTTTACCCCAAAATTTGATGTTAAAGTCTGCTTGCAT